GATATTTGATCCACTTGGATTTCTTGCACCACTTGTCTTGTGTGGTAAATGTATTTTACAGGAGATGTGCAAGAAGGGTATGGAATGGGATGAACCCCTACCAGATAATCTTAGTACAAAATGGGAATCATGGCTTTCTGAAATTCCTAAGTTGGCTGATCTCAAAATCAGGAGATGCTACAAACCAGAAGGTTTTGAAGACTTGAAGAAAGTTGAGCTGCACCATTTTTCAGATGCTAGTCTTACAGGATATGGACAATGTTCCTATCTGAGATTAGTTGATGTTCATAGTAACATACATTGCTCCCTTGTCTTAGGAAAAGCAAGAGTCACTCCTCTGAAACCAGTGACTGTTCCCAGGTTGGAACTTCAAGCTGCAGTTACTTCCATTAAAGTCAGCAACTTCCTAAACAAAGAATTAGACTATGAAAACATAGAAAATTTTTACTGGACAGACTCAAAGGTAGTACTTGGTTATATTGGAAATGATGCACGTCGCTTCCATATATATGTGGCGAATCGCATACAGAGAATTAAAGATGCTTCTGTAGCTGAGCAATGGCACTACATTCCCAGTGCAGAAAACCCTGCCAGATCATGCCATCCCGTGGCCTAGATGTGGCAGGCTTGCAGAAGTCAAACTGGTTCACCGGTCCCAGCCTTTTTATGGAATGAAGAACTACCATCTTTTGGCATATGAACATAGATCTACAAGAAGATGATCCCGGAACTGAAAACTGCCAAAGGTGTTGGCTACTACCGTAGTTACTTCATCAATGCTGCATCATTTGGGAGTGCTTCTCAGACTGGTCCAAGGCAGTAACTGCAATTGCTGTATTTCATCAATACATTTCCAGGAAGCTTAGGCAGACTACTATTTCACCACAAGAAGCTAGACAGACGGCAGTGATGACCATCATAAAGTGGGCACAACAAGATGCATTCGCTGAAGAAATAGAAGACTTAAATCGTCATGCCAATTCAAAGGATGTATTATCTGTGAAAAGAAACAGCTGTCTAATTTCATTAAGTCCTTATTTAAACGATCAACAAGTACTGAGAGTAGGTGGACGATTGAAGAGATCTACCATGCCTGACCATGTTAAACATCCCATTATCCTTCCTAAGAAGAATCATGTGTCGTCTATGATTATTGGATGGTGTCATAAAAAGGTGGCTCCCCAAGGCAGAGGAATGACCGTGAATAGTCTAAGATCAAGTGGATTTTGGATTCTGAACTGTAGTTCAGCAGTTGCATCATACATATTCAGATGTGTCCTGTGTCGAAAAACTTAGAGGAAAGGCCAACACACAAGAATGGCAGATCTTCCCAAGGATCGTTTAGAGCCAGCTCCACCATTCACATACTGTGGAATGGATTGTTTCGGCCCATTCATCATTAAGGAACGTCGATGTAAAGTGAAACGATATGGTGTAATTTTTACTTGTTTGGCCCTTCGTGCTGTTCACATAGAAACTATAGAAGAAATGTCTACTGATGCATTCATTAATAGCTTATGTTCATTCATTGCTATCAGACGTCCTGTAAGACATATACGATGTGACAGGGGATCTAACTTCATTGGTGCCAAAAATGAGCTTTATCGTGAAATGCAGGCACTAGATAAAGAAACAATCCAGGACACATTGCAGAGTGTTCAATGTGACTTCATATTCAATTCTCCAGCCTCTAGCCACATGGGAGGTGTCTGGGAACGCCAGATTAGGTCAGTAAGGAACATGCTTGCAGGAATCCTTGAGCAAGCTAAAGCCAGGCTGAATACTTCGTCTCTCAGAACATTCTTATATGAGTCTATGGCCATTGTCAATAGCCGGCCTTTGACAACAGAGCAGTTGAATGATCCTATGGGACCAACTCCACTTTCTCCTAATCAGCTCCTGACAATGAAGTCTGATGTTGTTGCACCACCTCCAGGTAATTTTGTGAAAGAGGATCTATATGCTCGTAAACGATGGCGCACAGTTCAGTACCTAAGCAATTTATTCTGGACAAGATGGCGAAAGGAGTATTTGATAAATCTCCAGTCCAGGCAGAAATGGCAAAAGACGAAAAGAAACATACAGGTAGGTGACATTGTACTTCTTCAAGAAGCAGACACCATTAGATCTCATTGGAGATTAGCAAAGGCAATAGAAACCATTAATGACAAAGATGGACTTGTACGACGGGTCAAGATTCTTATGGGTGACCCAAACTTAACCAAACGAGGTAAGAGAACGACTAATTGCTCTATTCTAGAGAGACTTATCCATAAACTTGTTCTACTTGTAGAAAACAATTCTGAACACCACCACCCCTGATGTAGCCCTCATGGGTGGGAGCAGTATAGAGTACACTCGTTATCGTAAGTTTTTTGGTACATGTGTAGAAATCATAAATGATTTTGGGGTGGGGAGTGTGGCTGCCGCCCTCTATTGGCAGATTTGAAATGGTCTTTCTTAGAATGTTAGAA